AAAGTGCCGTTGCTGTTTTTAGCATCTTTCCTCCAGGAGCCGGCCCTGCTGCATGGCTGAATAGAACATGCACTGCTTCCTCCTGACTACATGGATTTGTCAGGGATTTTATAAATAGCTCAGTGGCAGCACGTGTCTGCACCATACTGCAGACGAAGAATCTAGCTCACAACAGTCAGCGAGATACAGATTTGTCAAGAGAGACAAGGAGAGAAGGAATATCAGGAGGGGGGGGGGGGGAGGTCTGGTATCATGTTATTTACAGTTTGGCACACGCCAAATGGATTAATCAATATGTTCACGTCTTCCCTCATCAACTTCACTTGATGACCTTTGTCTGCTCTAAAAAGGCACATGCTGACATGCATACGAATTCAACCTAAATAAATTATTGAAGCCTGGTTCCCTCTTCCAATATTAATGTACTAAAGCTGCTGTACAATGCGCCAGTTTTTAATATTTGTGTTCCCATTTGTCCATGCCACTCAAGGATTCAAGGCCAAATGTTTTATATGAAATTCAAAGCATTAATTGCAGTGTACTGATGCATAGAAAACTTGCATGAAATAATATCCCAAATTTGTACCTATCATGGCTCTATTCAATTATGCAATCCATGAACGGCAGTGCACAGCTAGAAGGACGAGGAGCTTAATAAGCATGACTCAGTGGTCGAATTTGACTCAGATGAAGCCATGAAAAAGAGCAAGACAAGTAACAAGGCATGTGATTCTATTATTCATGGTCCTCAGAAGATACATCTTAATTGATATAATTGAAATAAAATCTAACCACAAGATCCATTTAGTTTCTTCTCTGGAGCTTTTGCTCACTTGTCATTAGCTGGCAAAGCTTGCATGATAAGTTCAAAAGCTCCAGAAGAGCTACTAAATTGACCTTGTAGTGAGATGGTTTTGTTACGGGAAACTTTTAACTGGTTATGAAACTGTCTTGATTCAACATTGATGCCTCAACATGACCTACATGAGGAAACGAGACCATCAGCAAGAAGATTGGCTATTGTTATCTAGTTGTTCTTCATGCTGTTCATCCGTGCTACCGGGTCGGATTCTGCCGTATCCTGAAACAATCATGCAGGTTCACCATGAAAGGCCTTCAGCTCAGACTCCAGCGTTGCCTCTAGCCCAGACCCTGCTGCAGTAAAATTTGAAGTTTTCAAAAGGGAATCTGGTGCTCGGAAACACGACCGCTTTTGTCAACAGGGTCCACCAAAATCAACACGAAATTAAAGTTCCTAAAACTAACTTTACCGAGTGTGTCCAACAACTGTTAAAAAAATTGCATAAGCTGCATGTTCCCCAGAGGATGTCTCCAATTCATTTGAGTGGTTTGGTGACCTGTTCAAGCCTTACACAAATATTTCACTTACATACAGTATGTTACACAATGTTATGGGTGCCGTGTGTTTCATGAGCACATGTATGCTCTTCAGAGGAATAGCCCTTCGCATTGTGTGATTCTATGACCTTCATTGTGCTTTTCATCCTTAACTTTATATTGTTTAGCCTCCCTGAGTGCTTTCAGAACAGCGATATATCCCAAATTAGTATTGGTGTAAATGTTAGAGGTGTTGGAATTCCTGCCATCATTGTATAATAAAGTCATCTGAACAGCAATTTTGTATAACCTTCCACAAGTCTGCGGGGAAATCTGATGTAAAACTCAACCCTCACTGGTGAACTTCAAACGCATAGTCAATACATGGCCTGCTTCATTATAATTTGTATTAATCCTCTCTGAAAATAACTCTACATTAGCAAATGAAGTGTACCTTGAGATTATGACTCACACAGATGACACGCAAACAACTCTTCCAGTCCAGTGGATCTGTTTTATACATAACATGGCTGTTTCTGGGGCACACGCTGCGAACACTTCAGTGTGTTACTTGATTTTATTCTTGATCGGTTGGAAAAACTTCAGAAAGAGCATGTAAACAACTCTCCACTAAAACCCAAACAAATGCTCCCTCCTCACTGGAGAGTGTGTGTCAGAGTGTGTGTCAGAGTGTGTCAGGTATGTTTTGTTTTTGTTGTTTTTTTAAACTCATATGCAAACTGTTATATTTACCCCTCTAGTGCTCACACATAATGAAAGCAGACAGCCATCCAATTTTCATTTAAAAGCAATAACAGAATCAGGATATTAGTCCAACCAAAACACAAATGCACACATGCTGTCTCTCTCACACACAAACACACTTGCAACAAATTGTCTGAGGAAGATGAGCACACAAAGAGACAATTTAAAGAGCCTTGGCATTAATGTGGTGGATAGAGTCCATTAATTCAAGCAAATGGCTTTCAGGTGACTAATGAACAGTACATTTAAGGCAATGTTCCCAATTGAATGTTCAAGCATCAAAACAACCCACTGTTCCAGTTCTCCTACTGCAATGACACCATCTAAGAGACAGGAATACTAGAGGAACACTTAGAGTGAATAGACAAATACTATGAAAACAGATACATGTTGTTTTAGTTAAGCCCGTCAGTCTATTGGAGTTCTCCGGAAACTTTTACAAAACAGATCCATCACAAAACCTAAGATACCCCTCGGGTAAACACTGAACACGGGAAGACTGCCGTCCACTACTTTGAGCCCCATAAATGGAATGAGTTGGAGAGGATTTAAAAAATGAAATGTGTCATTCCACTGGCCGATAAAACGTGTAATGTTAAATATATTTAGGTGGATCGTCACTGATGCTGTGTGTGCTTTTGTTATGTCTGCCTGGGTTCTTTGTATGTTATGTTCATCTGGTAATTTTTTTGTTTTGTCTAGCTATGTTTCTCTGCTGTATTCATGTCCCAGAAGAGATCTTGATCTCAATGAGATGATTAAGCAGAGGTTATATATATGTATATATGCAATATAAGCTCTTAATGCTCTATTAAAGGAATAGTTTGACACTGAGGGGAAAATGCTTATGAGAGTTATATGAGAAGATTGAAACACTTCTAAATGTGTAGCTGAACCAAGGTATGAAACACATCTAATTAACACCTTATATCTTGTATGTTTAATCAAAACAAATTCAAATATAGTCCGGCTCATAAATCCAATGGCGACTTTATTGTTTTCATATTATTTAATCACAAATATAATCTTGCAGGATTTTTCCGAAAAAGTTTGGAATACTTCTTTTTCTTGTTAGAAAGGGTTCAACATTTTAATTTTTTATTTTTCACTCATGCAGCATTTACATTTCACAGTGGGAGTCAAGGGACAAAACCCCTAATGACATCAGAAAGGGGGTGAAGCAGAATTCATTCATTCATTCATTTGTTATATCGTTGTCTTTCCTCGTGTCATGGCCCTTTACATTCTAGCTTGGATGATTTTGCCTGAATGTCATGTCCTTTAGATGGTTATCATTAATGTTTCCTGTGAAATAAACCTACTTTTTCACAAATGTTTTGCCTTTGACGGAGCATCTTTACAACCGTGCCCCATCTGGAGAGACCAATGTGTCCCGGAGGGAGAACATTGACGGATAGTACATGGCAGCAGCAGTGTACTAATAAAATGGGACAGATTGTGATGGGGGGGATATGGTTCATTTCAGTGCATTCAATTCTTGTTGAGTGTAGTGAATTGAAAAAAAAGAATGATCACAATTAAGGGCCATCTTAGTGACTATTATTAAAAATGTCATGTATTTTCCAAAGCCAAAAAAATGAATAATTTACTCTAATCATTATTATTAATAATAATTCTAGAGGGTGGTGGGCAGTCTTCTATCACAACGATAACTTTGATAGGTGAAGTCTACGTCGTCTGTAAAAGAAAAATACGGCAAGCACAGAGCTGCAGAACATATTTTAAGCTCATGCAAACTGGATATGTTGGTGAGACTATCAGAGACAGTGCTGCCCCTAGAACTCAGTTGCAGTCATGAATTGTTGCGTAGGAGGTTTTCTTTAACTCTGCAAACAACACTTAAATAAGAAACCTTACCAGTTTGGGAATTTGGATATCAGGGATGTTTGAAGCTCCCTGCCGATTGAGGCATAATGATTCAGCTTCTTGCATATATGGAGTTGCACCTGTTGTCTACCTCCAGTCCAGTCCTGTCAGTTGGCCTTATCTCTCTGCATCTTATATCAGTTGATTCACCAGGTCTCCTAACAACATTGTAGAACTTATGCATAGGCTGAATATCTAAAAGGGGCAGCCCAACTACATGAAGCATAAACATATGATTAGCCACCCTGGCAACAGTTCAAATATGGCGTGTTCTTGATGGTGCTAAGCTTACAATAAAAATGCATTTTACAGTTTTATGTGATTTGTTGACTACAAGCACTGAGTCTTAATATCATATTTCCACTTTGTTTTGTTCCTTCCACACATACAAAACTGTAGTCCACAAACCACTGGGTGACGCCATGGTGATGACCTCCACTTCCACTTATATAAAGTCTATGCCACCAACTTTTTGAAGTCCTTAATAATTTAACTGTAACTGTAGCGCTGATCTTTGTGAATTGCACTGTTTTTGGATTGAGGCCATGGAAATGGGCAGATTTGCACTAAATGTAGACGTATTTCTTAATTTAAAAACATAAAAATGTGATGCTATTTGCTTAGCAGCGCAGTTATGGGTGCGTTTTACCTTTGCGGGTGCTTTGAGCACAATCCTATTGTGAATTCTTCCCTAGAAGATGAAGATTGAAGACTTTTTTCTTTGCTGCTGCCTTTAATTGAACCAGATTCAAGGATATTAATCAATTTCCTGCATTTCTGCATTTTATTTCTTGAACTGCACTGCAGCAATTCTATTTTTTAGCTTTTTCGTGTTTTAATGACTGTTTTTAAGGTTTCAATCAGTTTTTAAATCTCCTTTTCTTTTGCCTTGTGTTTTGATGCTTTTAATGGTTTTATGTGAAGCAGTTTGAATTGCCTTGTTGTTAAAATGTGCTATACAAATAAACTTGCCTTTCCTTTGCTTAAGTATTGTGTGTTTTCTTCAGCAGGATCAGCACCATGAAGACCAGACTAGGCTGCCTGTCCAACAAATCTGACTCCTACAGTGACTTCTCTGAGTTCCTGCCTCCTGCCCACGAAACCACTGCCAGGTGTCTGAAGTGAGTCTGCCAACAAATCCTGCGCCTACTTCTGTGGGACTACAATTTTGTAACAAATGAAATTCAAAGCTTCTGTTGTGTTAAATAACTCTCTAGACCTCACACTTGGCCTTCAAAATTTGGAGGCGTTATGAAATTACATTCAACATTTTAAAACTCTTGAAGGACAAAGAAAGTCTTGTTTCAGATTTAGTTATTTTAGTGGGATGTTCAATGTAATGTACTGTCCTGTTAGCCAAGATAGCCAGCAACATAAATGAGCAATTCAACCTTTTGTTGTTCATTATACTAAAGATTAGAGTGATACAATTTAACTTTTTTTTTTTTTTTTTACCCTCTAATGCCAATAGGGAAACATTTCTCTCAGTGGCATTTAATAATGCCTTGATTTGCAAATATTACAAAGTAATATTATGCATAGGATGTGGGTGGTCAATTAAAGTACCTCCAAGAAAATGTGTTTTCCCTAATTTGTCAATCCAAGTAATCCAAGTAAACCGACAATGTTCTCGGACACAAAATAATTTCATAAACTGTATAGAGAAATCTGGCATTATTAAGAGACGTCACTTTGAGATTTTAAGTTGACGAGAATGTTCTTCATGTTTAGCCTAACGTTCCAAAGATGGAGCGGTGCAATAATCTTAATGCATCCCTCTAATCTCCAAGAGACTGCGTTCCATCACTTCATAAAGAGCATTAACATGTGAAGCTATTGTTCTTCTATCTCATCTCCTTCCTCCATTCATCATTCTCTAAATTGAACCAGATATTTCAATTACATGATGGCCTGTGAGTAGAGAATATTTCATACATCAAACTCTGCTGCCCTTCAATAATACATACAGTACCATCTTGTGTTCAAAATGCATGAAAGCACAGTGGTTGATCAGCTTCTTACTCAGGCAGTGTCCTTTTGTCTTTTTCACCGTCAGAGTATCAACGGATGAAGTTGTTCGATGGTCGGAATCGTTTGATCATCTCCTGTCTCACAAATGTAAGTAGACATGTTCTATTTTTCACGATGAAGAAAATTAAAGCCACTTTAATGTAGCAGTAATGCTTTTCTGTTTACGAAATAGAAAGTCTATTTTTTTGCACAGCACAAGTCCATTTCCCCCCCTCCATGCCTGTCTTATGTAAGGCTCTCATGTCTGTGTTGTGAGGACTCCTTCCCGCAGAATGAGTCACATGTCTCTGACCTTCCCCATGGACCTAGCACAGACTCACTCACACAAATCCATCAGCACAAACAGGACGGGCATTTATTTTTTTAACTGCTAACAAGCTACGTAACCCAACATCAGTGGTATCGAATTATCTGGTCTGAGAGATGAAGGGAAAACACAAGTGGATTCAGAGCATGTGCACTTTTTGAGATTTCTTTTCAATCTCTAGAAGCACTCCAGCACACACTCTTGCTGCTCTTTGAGTGATATGAAAACCGACCTTTGCCTATCAACATCCTTGCCTTTTACTGATCCCCGGAAAGGAAAGAAATTTAAACTTGGATTAGAAGACAAATATTCATTCGGAAGCAGGGAGACAATAAGAAGCTTTCCTCCTGCTTTGATTTTTGTATGATTGATATTAAAAACTCTGATAGTACTTTTCTGGAGAACAAGTAAAAACAAATCATCTTAGGCTTGTTTTATGTTGTTAGATGGTTGGAGTAAACTGTAAAACAAATGTTTATTTTGCAATAACAGTGACAGAAACCACGGCTCAATAGGTGCCACAAGAAATAAGGAAAACAATAACAGATAGAGAACGCTATTTGCTCTGAAAAAGCCACTATAATAAAAGATAAAGACAAGACAACAAACAATATGTACATTGATGTATTGTTTAGAGCTGTAATTACCGTACTGACTTATGATTAGACAAAGTTGATCCAAGTCGGTTGTAGTCTATCCCAGTTTATTTTGAGAACTTGTAGAGAAAATCAGTGTCTAATGTTGAAAAGGAACCGTGTAACGTTTTTGACAAGCCCACAGGAAGAGTGCATGTTTTGTTACAGATGTAGATAAAATATGTTTACGAAATTTAGAAATGATCACATCTATCTTTTTTTCCACAAATAAACATTACAATGCTCTTGAACAATAGCAAATGTTTGGATCACATTAGTCGGAAACAACACAGCCACCACTGAAATCTAATTCTACAAAAAGCATAATACTCCTAATATTAATGTAGTCTGATCATTATCTGACACTGTGCAGAATTAAAGAATTTACACGATGAATAAACATGCAAAAAAAGCAGCTGCGCAGCATCAAATGTTGATTGAGGATCGGAATGTCAAGAATGAAGCTTCAAACTATTCGGTACAACCCTAATACACTTATCAAATAAATTACCTCTGGAGGAAAGTCCGTTGTCCTCACTTTCACTCTCATTTCTTGGCCATATTCCACTCTGGATGTTTGTCCAATTATTGCAGCAAGTCTCTCATCTGGGGTTACCAGATTGGATGGCCCTTGTCCTCCTCTTCCACCTGGATTCCTTCTTCTTGGTCTGATCTGTTATTCTTCTTTTCGCTTAAACTTTGTATCAAACTGTTTTATTTTATTATTTGACCTGAGCCACAGTCCATATCTCAGGGGATACAACATTCACCACCTCGCAGCCCTAGTCTGTTTTTTGTTATATAATCATCTGTCCAGTGGAAAGTTATTTTGTATATATATATATATATATATATATCCATTTAGATTATTAAAGGGCCATGCTTCTTTTTTACAACAACTTCAGCGCTTTCTCCATGATAAACCTCAATCTATCGAGAATGATTCTGGTTGACTAACATTCGCACAGTGAGAAGAACAAAATTGGCCGATTATTTAATCTGACTATTAGCAAATGTTTCATGAAGAAGAAACATGTTAAGCTAGGGATGCAACTAACTTATTTTCATTATCGGTCGATCAGCCTATTATTTTCTTAGTTAATTGATATAATTATTTTGGCTAATACTTTCCCAGAGCCCAATGTTATATCCTCAGAAGTTTTGCTTTTGATGGATGTCTCTTTAATAAAAAAAAATTCTTGGGTGTATTGTATTGTTTTCACAACCCATCTGTAATCACTTCTGACTGCTGAAACTAAAACTTGTATTTGTGATGCCTGCAGTGTCTTTTTCCATTTTTTTAGATTTTTAACAATTTTCAGTCCTTAAGCAGAAAAGAAACTGCCTAGTTTTGTCCTCAATCGCAATTATCTTTCAAAGCTTTGGTCTGAGCTTGCAAAACTAGGATGAACCACTTTTCACACAGGTCTGTCATCAAAGTGATTATAGTGATCATATCAAACACTGCTGACAAGGGGATTAGAGACAGCCACCCTGGACTGAAAGAAAGCTGTAAACAACCTGCACTCACATGACAATTATCTGTTTTGTCCAGATCAAGGTTCTGACACAACAAGTTTGTTTGTTACAGAGCCAAGAATAGAGCTGCCCCCCCCCCAGGCGGAGAAAGCGTGCCACACCTTTCCTTTTTCAATTGGCCACACACATTAGAGAGGTGAAATACAACAAGTAACCGAACGCACATACTGTCAAAGCAATAAGACCACAGTACTGAATGTTCCCTTGATAGGTTATATATATATATATTTACCTCGGCCTTAATTTAATTCAAAAGGAGGGATAGTGTTTACCAATTACACCTGACTGCATTCTCGTCCCAGTGTGCAGCTTGAGTCTCAACTGATTGTCTCAGCCCCAGCTGCTGTGCATTGTCCACATTACTCCCAGCTGCTCCTAATTGCTCTGGTGTATTTAAGCTTGAGTCTCTGGACAGCCTCCTGTCGGTCCACTAAGTTCCCTTGCTGCTCTGATTTAAGACTTTCTCAGCTAGATTCTCTGCTTACATTCATGGTTTGCCTCAACTCAGTCTTCACCTGCACTCTGGTTTCAGTCTGCCTGCCTTCAGAATACCCTGTTCTGTCTCTCTCAGTCTTCCTTGCTCTATGAAGATATATCCAAACTGCCTCAGTCTAATCCCTCAATGTACCAAGCAACAAACCCTCAGCCCCTCTCCTTTCCAAATGAAAGGTACCTAAAAACGGACATAACCTTGGTCTTGTGTCTGCTTGTGGGTCTACTCTAGTGTCACATAATCTACTTTAGAAGTTTTTTTGTTTTTTTTTTGGTGCCTGAGTTTTTCCCCAGCACCATAAACATCCTGCTTGTGGTCTCATATTATTCTGCTCATTAAAAGTTGGTGCAATGAATGCGTCAACAAATATAGCAATGCACCATCAGAAGCAGTCAAGCAGACTGCTAACATAAAAACAAAGTTGTGAACAATGCACGATCGGGCTTTGCAAATATATTAAGAGGAAGTCAATGCACTCACACACTTGACTTTAAAGCGGATATGATCAATATTTTACACAAAAAACTTATCGAATGACAATGCGAATCTATGTGCCAATGTGAAACGAGTTGATTGTAGCAATGCAGCCCGGTCTCACCAATTGGTGTATGAATGACAAAAATATTTGAGTCATTTAGCATGTAATAACGCATTGTTTCTTGCTTTTGCGCATTGTTATTTGTACACCATGTAGTCTGACTGCAAGGTAAACTAATTTGTGTGAATATGCTGCACTCTGGAACACCGGTAAACCTCGTCACTTGTTCTAAGTGTTATTCATTTTTTAAAGGTGCGTTAGTGATGTGCTTATGTACTTACTTTAGGTCCAACCATGATGTGTTTCTTAACCCAACTAAGTGGTCTTGTTGCATCACTGTAGTTTTGTTGCCTAAATATTTCCATGACCGTTTCACGGTAACGACGTGTTGTTTAAGGACACACAAAAAGCCAAAGATGTGTATCAATGGCGGCGGAAATGTTGTGCTATTTATTTGCCTTCCCATGAGATCGGGTTGAGTGATGATGCTAGACAGAATTATCACCTGCATCTTTGCAGCTCCCCTTAGCTTTACGTAGCTGTTTAGTGAATTTAAGTTGATTAATTAACTGTCCGGTCCATTCGGACCTTTCAGCTTATCCATCCGTCCATCCAACCATTATCTTTAACCACTTAATCTTCTTTAGGGTCAGCCATTGAGCTTAAAATAAGGTAAATAGTGGTGAAATATTCTATATAGATTTTTCAACAAATAAATGTGTTAAGATGTTTGATTTCATCAATACATTTTTGGTGCAAAAATTACAAATTGTGGGTTTCAATCCACATTTATAAACATAGCATGCTTTTAAATATGTGGCCACTTTATCACAAACTACTGAAATTGACATAAAGGAAATATGCCAACTGTAATCTATGATGATCCTACCCATATTTTGTATTCTCAGCAGAGGTCTTTGGTCTCTGAAAGCTTTTCACAAAGTGTGTCACTTGGGAGAAAAACCTTTCATCCACTTTCCAATAAGTCCAAGTAGACAAGCGGGAACACTGTAAAAGCTTGCAAACTCCCTGTTGCTTGTGATACCACAGTTACTTGGGGACATACAGCAGCACTGTGTGTGTGTGTTTGTGTATGCCCGTGTCCATGTAAACCTGCATGTTGTTGTGTACACACTCATGAGAATGTGTGTGTTTCTATGTAAGTCATATTTTTGAATATGCACGGATGGACCATCCCCTCTGCTCTGCCTAGCTTTATTAGGTAAACAGCAGAAAGGAGAAGGGTGGAAATAATATGTCTGTGTGACATGAGCCGATAGAAAAACATGCCCTTCCTCTGTGTTATCATCAGTGGGGAGCACATTAATTGATCACTTATCTTGACTGTTGGAGACAGCAAAAAAAAGCGATCTCTTCGTGGGAGTATTTTGTTCCAATTTTGTTTGTGTTCTAGTCATGAGAGACGTTTTCCGCTTCTGGGAACACGGGTGTGTACATACTGGAAAAATATCAACCTAGGGTGAAGGGTATTATGACATGATCAAGCTACTCTATGATGAAGAAGAACAAAAAAAACATCCAGTATCCTGCTGTACAGAAATAGGTGCTATGCTGCAATATCAATCATGTTTGTGAAGTGCCTTTGTTGTTTTTACCACCTCCCCTTACCTTCTCATTCATTTCTCCTTTTCCAGATGGCCTGGCTGCCTTCCGGACATTTCTCAAGTCAGAGTTCAGTGACGAGAATATCGAGTTTTGGATGGCTTGCGAGGAGTACAAAAAAATCAAAAGCTCAACCAAGCTTGTGTCCAAAGCAAACAAGATCTTTCACGAGTTCATTGATATTCAGGCGCCCAGAGAGGTGTGTGTGTGTGTGTGACTGCTGTTTAATGTGTTTTTCTTTTACAAACATTTTTTAGATCAATATACTATTGTGATATCAGATTGAGACCAAGGTTACATTTCACATAAACACTGCTGTTATGTCACACAAACTGTAAATGTACTTTTGCTCTACTAATCTAAACGTTTCACCTTTTTCATGAAAGTCGGTCTCTTGGTTAATTCGTTGATTGTTAGAACGTTGATCATGAATTGTGCAACATTTGTACATTTATTGGCTAACGTGATGGATAGCCCCACCTCAGTTTGGTCATTAGCTTCATTTCCTGTTTTAGATTACTGACTGGATTACAGCAACGACTCCCCTTAACTAAACCACACAATAGGTAATTTGTCATTACCTCCCCAAATGCGTGTTTTCTGATCTGAAACTGCCTTGGTTAAGGTTTGGTCAGGTAGATAAAACTACTTGGTAAAGGTCAGGTGGTGTAATAATAATAATAATACATTTTATTTATATAGCACTTTAAAAGGCACTCAAAGACACTTTACATGTTAAAAACAGAAACAATAGAAGCATTTATAATAACAAAATATACGACATAACAGTAAGAAAAAAAAAAAAAAAAAACATTAAAAGAAAGAGAAAAACATACATGACTGACTTTAGAGGTTAAAAGCAGATTTGAATAGGTGAGTTTTAAGTGCAGTTTTGAAAGTGGCGAGTGACGAAGAATGTCTGAGGTGTTGGGGGAGGGAGTTCCAGAGGGAGGGGGCAGCAACGGAGAAGGCCCTGTCCCCCAGGTCCGATGCTTGGGACAGAGTAGGGGGGGTAAGGAGGTTGGCGTCGGTAGATCTGAGGTTGCGGTTGGGAGTGTGATGGTAAAAGCGTAAAAGTAAACAAAAAGTCCTTCAAAAATAAAATGCAGAGTGTAGAGTTTGCGGAACAGTTAATGGCATTTGTGACTATGACTTATTGTGGGGGACCTTCACTTTTTAAAAAAAAAATGTTTGCTCTCATTATCCTGTCAGGTAAACATTGACTACCCCACCAGGGAAAAGACCAAGCAGAGCCTGGGGGATCCGTCCCCAACCAGCCTCAACGAAGTCCAAGCTAAAGTCTACAGCCTCATGGAGAAAGACTCTTACCCACGATTCCTCAGGTCCAAGATGTACCAGGGTATATTAAACAGGGCAAATGCTCAAAGTCAGCGGAGGTCTGTTTGACCAAATCCGATGAAGACCACAGATGACATCAAACTGGACCTACACTGTAAATCACTAGTTAACCCTTTGACATCATCTCTGAATACTGTGAATCTGCAAGGATGGGGGCGATATGCTTGACTGTTTCCTTTGTCTACACCAGCTCCATGCATGCAATCCCTCTAGAAACGAAGTGTCTTGGTGGACTGCACTCTTCAGTACAGAAGAGATTTCACGAGGATAAGCTAATTGTTTTACCTCCAGTTAGTGCTGGGCGATATGTTTTAAAGATATAATCACAATAAAAAAAATTACCTTATCATGCGATAACGATATTTATCAGACACAAACCATGACATTCAAATGTATGCTGGCAGAACAAAAAGCATTTGACATTAAACAGACTACAACTATTAAACAGAGCAAGCAACGATTGAATTGTCACAACCAACTCTTGATATTGTTTAGCTGTAATTCAAAATATTTATTAAGAATTACAGCTGCTAAAAATGAAAAACTTGAGATGCAGCTGAGAGTTGAGGGTTGTTTTCAGTTGAAATGCATATCTCATTTCTACTGTACAGAAAATCAAAGATCAATATCAAAACATAACTTCAGCAGGACCTTTTTTAAACTGACATGTAAATGCCAAAACTTTATTTTGGAGCACTTTATTGTTTCTAATCCTCTGATTATGAACCATTTCGGTAATGGATTTAACTGATGTTAGACATGATCTCTGCTGGGGCATGACTAATGCAGTTATTACCATGGAGGTCTTGTATTTTTGGTCAGAAATAAAATAAATGATAAAACACAATTTCCTAAATGCAATTGGCGAGCTCCATTGGTTAAACTTGATTGACTTGTTGGGGTTTACACAGTTAATGCATGTAAAAAATAAAGGGATAAATATCATTAATGTTTTATCGCCCAGCACTACCTCTACTTATCTTCAGTTCTTTAGGAAATAGACACCGTTGTATGCAGGTGACTAGATCTATAGGGTAGTTTATGTGTTTACATTGAACAATGAAGTGAGTGAACACTTAATATCTCAAACTGTGCCAAATTAGATTGCACTTCGATATCGATATAACTACATAATCCTGTGTATTGTAAACTCTTGGAGGTATTCTATGTGTATAAGTATAATGAAGGGTTTGGGTTACTTTTTGTTTTCAATTCACTCCTATTCAGCAAGCAGAAATGTGCTATCAACCCTTTTTGAGAAGTTTCTGTATGTTGTGTATATACAGTGCATCCTATTGGAACATCATTCATTGGCGACCAGGATTATGTAGAGATTTATTATCGTTCATATCTTTTTTTATTTGATTTAGGCCATTTTAACTAAAAAAAACAATTGTTAAATGTAATCTCTTACAATCAACATTGGATTTAAAATGACTCAATATTTGCCTAAAGTTTGGAAGTACTGACAGGTAATTAATTACAGTACCTTAATAAAGTGAAAATTGCAATTTATCACATAATTAATTTGCTACAATTTACCGCATAACGAGCATGCATTGCTTCATTAGACTAAATATCAAACATTGGCCTCCTGCTAGTGGTGAATTGAAAGTGACAGCCCAGACCCCCAAATAATCTGTTCCGAGTTGAAAAACATGTTGTGCAAATTTCCTAAATAATTTTCAGCATGATGCAATACTCAGAATAACTATTTAGATATCCTTCAACTTGTACAGGGGGTAATGTAAATGTCTGCAAAGAAATGTGTTTGAAATGTGCTCCCTCAGCATTTGCACTCCTTTTTAAAATAAGATTTGAAAAGATTTCAGCGAAGACAAATATTTTTCTTTGTTGCATGTGCACCATAAAGGCCAAACTGTTGGAAATGCAACCGAACTGGCTGAAGAACATACCACCCTATATGGTATGTTACTGTGTTCCACATGAATGTAACCTTCCCACTATATTTTGCGATTAAAAAATGAATCTGCATCTATATTTTGTGCACTGCTTGGCCTTATTCTCATAATACCAAAAGGGTATTAGAGATATGAAAATATATTCATCCACTGACCGGACGGATTGACCTCGATTCCAATGCCATTTTATAACTGCAATGGGGCCAGAGAAGAAAGAGAACTCAATCTGGGGAGTGATTCATCGCTTTCATTTTTGGATCGGAGAATTTGGATTGTAAGGTCTGGTTTCTATTTACCATTCTATTGGAATAATAAGATGGAAAGAAATGTAAAGTAATACGATGGCTGGCTGATGAGGGACAAAGTCAGTTCATTTCTATTGTTAATGGACTTTGCTCAACATTTAAACTTTATATTTCGTCACATCTTAGGTCAGATGTTGCAGCTAATTTAGGAATGAATCACACAAAGTGAAGATGAGAAACCAAAAACGGAACAATGATCAAACATTCATGGCACAAAACCAGTGTTCTCTACTAGTATCTGGGGCATGGAGTCGCCCACTGTGACATTGTATGTCCATTAACTTTTGCTGTTGTTGGGTATATGTGTGTGTCTCACTCGGGGAACGAAGAGTGGGGAAATGTGGGACAGCAGCACCATGCTCGGGCACAACGCAAACATATCTGAGCCAGTCGACTTCAAACCCAGATGCTGTAAAATAATCGGGCCTTATTTTCTTCTTGAACACGATGCAGGCAATGACATCAGTACAACTCAATCCCTTTCTACAGCTCTACAGTATCTCTATGGTCTCTTAATCAATAGAAAACACATGGTGCAGCGCTGCCATGACTATGGATCACAGGGAGGATGTGCAGGCCAGTTGATTAGTCATCCTGTTAAGCTCTGAGACAAACAACAGAAGCAGTGCAGGGAAAAACAACAGAACAAAGTTGACTGTCCATGTGACAACAATGTTTTATTTTTTCATTTTATCACAGGCTGTACCACTCTCGCATGTCAGATGCAGAAGATGTAAATATAATGCTCAATTAGTCAATATATTTTCAACACTGAGTTAAATGCCTTTATGTGATACATGCCTTGTCAACCTATTCTGCAGCTCTGTGGAGCATCTTAGTCGTGTTCATTGTTTGGTTTAACAGCACATTTACTGTAGTCTCAGCCCTCTCATCATCAAATTCGCCTCTAGAGCCATCAGCTCTTTGTTGAATTCTTTTGGCCCCAAAATGCCAAATCATTTCAAGCATTTACATTTCAGTGTATCCAAAGTTGCTATAGAAATCACTCAAACAGATTTGGAATTAGCAGAGTAGCTTAACGTCACTCAATTGTGTTTTTGGTGCGTTTTTCTGGCTTTGTGCAATTAGCTTGCCATATGATGAACAACCTTTGGTATAAAGTCTGTGCAAATTAAGTGGAAGAACACCTGTAATGTAGTTGTCATTTTGCTAGCAAAAATACAATGTGAAATAAAAAAAAAAAAAAACTTTCCGTTGTTCAGATTCCAGGGTGTGTTTTAGTGCCTGCAGGGTAAAACAATAACAGACTGCTGTTTATCATTCAACAGCCATTGTTTCGGTAGAATGTAAGTGTTTAGGTAATCTAGCATTCAAATTGCAAAATTTAGAACTGTGTCAACTCAAAATACAAGGCAAGGAAAAACACTTTCTTAGTTGCGGTATAATTCCGAATCATTTCAGGCTGTTAAACATGTTTTATTGTCATCTGGGTATAATAAAATACACATGAAGAGCAGCATATACATACAATCACCTTTTTAACATTATGTCTCCACAAATATCTGTACAATGTACCATCAGGTCCCTAATAAACCAAATTCCCATAGGACTGGATTGTCCACTTGTGTATCACCACTTGTTTTAGTCAAAAACAACAGTCTCTGGGAATAACAGTACCTGCTGCTCCGAGGTATTGACATCAATCATTGTTTATGATCTCCAAGGCAGCAGGTACATTCATGTAATGTTGACAAGAGTCAAATATCAGTCCTGTTGTTGTCTGGGTCCAACGTTTGGCAGCCCCACCTATGGGGTACAGCAGAAAAACACAAAGCCATTCAGCGTCAAGTTAATCATTATCAGTGATTTCTCCAGGGCAAGCACTACTGGTACAGGACCACCTACAAGTCAGTCATTTAACAGCTGGAGGTAGTTTTGTGGGAGAGAACATCACTGTTATACTTTATTCATGACTGTGAAATCTGTTTCAGCTAACCCTGCTCCTCTCTCGTTACACTCTAATACACATCTCACGACACACACACACACACACACAATGCGATGAGCTGTCAGGGTAAAATGAAGAGCACACGTGACCACAGAGACGTTCAGAACACAAATTAAGTCAAGTAATTTCCAATGCAGCTTGGCAGGTTTTCTCCTTTAAAAATATTTGTAGCTCAGTTTTGGAAGAAACAAAATGTTAAATTAAAAATGTCAGTTGTGCCTCTGATGACATAACCAAAACACATTCAAAGACGGGGCATGTGTTCTGGCACGTGTGCTTGCTCTGGATTGACTTTGGCACCTATTAATAAATAAATGTCTTAATGATATCAGCATTTTTTAAATTAATTTAATTCTCATTTAAAAAGTACCAAGTTTTATGCGTTTTCCCAATAGCTTTGGTAAAAACAAAAAGTTAAATGCTCCTGGTGAACAGGGTTGTTGGCATGTTTCCACCAAATACTAGTAAATATGTACACAGGAAATGATGAATACCATCATGTCATACTGTTAACAAGATGGGGTGGTGATATCCAAGAAGGCAGTTCAAAGACAGATTAGAAGGTGGCATATTGTTGAGAGGAAACAAGGTACACTTGATCATCCTTAAAGCCATGTGTTTGTTTGGCAATGGAGAATGTTCTTTTTTTTCCATCAACGCACATATGAAAGCCCACTTTGATGTTATATAGGGATTTGTATGAAAATGGATTACCACAGGTGATGATCAATCCACCTCAACAGACAATCTTTATGATGCCAATCAAACTGGAATAATCCATAAAGAGAGACTGAAATGTCTATAAATATTACCTTTTTGTTTGATTTTCCGAAAATCGCAGCAAGTGTCTCCCATTCTTGCAGATTCAGTGTTCGGAGATGATATCAACACATTGATAAATGATTTACAGTAAGGGTGTTTTTTTTGTCCATTCCGATCAACAGACATCTGCTGGCCCTGTGCATGGATGGTGTTGAGAATATCTTGGTACATATGGAATTGGTCCAGTTTCGGTCCAATGAAGATGAAGCCTGATGACTTTGCTCATCCTCTGACCTGCAACAGCATTTTTGGTTTGGATTAAAATAACTTTACAACTATTGGATGGACTGCCATGACATTTTGTAGAGATATTCAAGTTCCTCATCATGGTCAAAATGACACTTTTGAAATATCTTCTGAAAATGTCTTAATGAAACAAAAATTGCTAAAGACATACATGGTTCTCAGACGGTGAATCCTAATCACTCACTGATCTCCTGACTTCTCATCTAGTGTGCAGCTCAAAATTTTAATTTGTCGACACTTTGGTTTGTGGCCAAATAAGTGCTAAGTACCAAATAGTACCATGCTAATGTTAGCATTTAGTTCAAAGCACAGTTATGTCAAACATCTCTCTACAGAATCACATCTCCCACCTGGTACTGTACATTAAGCCTACAGCCAACTTCTTCTCTACTACCTGAGGTAGAACTGCACACTGCACTACTTCCATTCAGTTCCATTTCAATTCTTGAGAAGTAGCAAAAGTAGGTGGTGTGACCACACTTCTTGCATAACCTTAACAGACAAAGAATGGAGTGCAAACTCAAACAGAACATCAACAGAAAAGAAGAATACAGCTCTATATACAATGTTGGAACATAAAGTGATTTGGGTATTAAATAGTGCAAAAACAGCATAGAAATGGAAAACATTTTTCATTAGATTATCACTTTGAATCTCAGGAGAGTTTGCATATTGTAAGCTCGGCTGACCTCCTATCTAAACAGGCTCCTGGGAGTAGTTGCGGATCATAGTGTTGCTGAGGGGGAAACGCACTCCAGTGGTTATTGTTTAACGGCCACAGTGAGCATCTGGTCGGGCCTGCGGCAGGCATGCATGCCCCTCTTCTCCCCGGAGGACGAACAGACAGATGAGCAACCTGAGGGTCCTCCATGGACACTGCCAGATGCACTCCTGCAGAGATCAAACTGGACCACTTCACAAATGTGTAGAGGCCTGGGATAAACTATCTCAGCACTTTTTGTTTAAATAGTGAATACGGTTATGTTTGGGGGTTCAAAAATGATCTAATATTTGAAAATGTTAATTGCTAGTCCAGATCATTACGCCTCCTCCTCTCACATAGCCAGACTACATCTTGAGAATTGAGTAAACATTTATGTGCATTTTAATCAAACAAGACCAAGGCTGTATACAGTTACATTATCATTATGAAAATACATTACTGTGAAGACAGTTTAACATCATGGTGCAAATATTTGCTTTGAAAACACATGTGCAATGTGAGCTCCATTTACAACCCACCCAAAGAAGAATTTGGCCTCATTTGAAGGTGTTGCTGTATTATATGTATTACATTCCCAGGAATGGCAGCAATAAAAACATGTGATCTGTCATTTGTGGAACTGCATGGCCTATTTGTTTTATATTTTAAATTAATGGTTTTTCATTTTAAAAACCCTTCTTGGCAAGAGTTAGATGAAAAGATTGAGTTTAAAATGTTATAATTGTGTAATTCCAGATTTACATAGGGTACTGATGTGATAAATGACGATAATAAAACCCTTCATTAATCAAGGATTATATATATATATATATATATATATATATATATATATATATATATATTTCTAATATTGTGTAGATCCGTAGGCCAGCATTGCACTCATTTCTGTTTCCATTAAATTATTGGTTTAAATGGGCTTCCAGCTGTCCCCCTCCACTCATCACTGAGTCACCGCTCTGAGGACCTTCAGAAAAAAACAAACAAACAAAGAAACCGATGTAATGCCAGGAAAC